GCGATGCTAGTTTAAAGCTTGCCGTACGAGATCAGCCAACCTGGAAGAGAAGACATGCTTGCCTTTAGGAGAGATGTGAAGCCCATCCCACCCCAGCAAGTCCCCCGCCCGAAAGCATGGGTCATTATCAAGGAGCCCAAGGCCTGCCTGGCGGCACCAACTTCATAAGTGCCGGTTGACCTCGCCAATGCAGGTCTCGTGTTGCCGTCCCTGCCTACTCACCGGAAGAAGAGAGGAGACTACCACCTGCGCCCCCATCTCCTTAAGCTTGTCCCCCAGAGCCTTGAAATCCTTCATAATGTGGTCAGGGTTGCCCCGGGCCGCATCATTCATCCCCACGTGGATGACAACCATGGGGGACTGGTCTGCAGGTTGGTTGTAGGCCGGGATCCTCTCTGTGATGTCTCTAACCCGAGCCCCGGGCATGAGGCAGACCTCTCGCATCATGGGGTCAGGCCGACAGATGGGACCTTCTAGTCCTCGTGTGTGATGGGTGTGCTGTCTTCTAAGCAGGCCTTATTCCTCCTAGGGTGTGATGCTGGGGAGTGCTGCTCTGGCTACTGCCTCCAGGCCTCTTTGCTATTCATTCATGCTGCCAGGGGTCTCTGTTGCTCTTTTGTGCCACTACCAGGGATCTCCACTGCTGCTGGGGCTACTGCTTCTCCTCTGCCACTGCTGGGGGTCTTCATTGTTCCTCTTCAGGTTGCTTGTGCACCCCCAGCTTAGTGTCATTGGTGAACTTTGCCAGTGTGCTTTTCACCCCTACATCCAGATCATTGATGAAGATGTTGAAAAGCACTGGTCCAAGTACCGAACCCTGGGGAACTCCAATGGCTACCTTTCGCTAGGTCGACACAGATTTGTCTATTAGTACTCTCTGGGTCCAACCCTGCAGCCAATTTGACACCCATCTGATGGTTGAATTGTTGAGCCCATAGTTCCCTAGTTTTACCTTGAGAGCCTTAGGGGACACCACGTAAAAGGCCTTCCTAAAGTCCAAGTAAATGATGTTGACCTCAGAACTGACATTTCCATCAAAACTACAAGAAAAACGACAGATTTTGATCTCACTACCTAACCCAGGGACTTTTTGCATACTCTCTAAAATCCACAAACAAGGGAAGCCTGGCAGACCTATCATATCCAGCCATGGAACCCTAACTGAGGAAGTATCAGGTTTCATTGAATCTATCCTAAAACTTCTTGTTACCCAAAGACTGAGTTTTGTCCAAGACACAACAGACTCTACAAAAACTTAAAAACATAGACCACCTTCCCAGTAATACCCTGCTAGCCACCATGGACATTAGCAGCTTCTTACCAACATGCCACACCAGGATGGCATCCAAGCCTGCCTTACATATTGTGGCAGAAAGCCACCTTGGTTTCTCCCCAAAAATCTCTGCCCTGTGACACTGTGATTTAAATCTCTGTGCTGTGACCATTCAATTAGGGTGGGCCCAGCACACAGGGGACCACACCCTCAGCCTGTCTCTTTAGGGAACTGGAGCTGGCTGCATTCCTGAGGGAGGGGAAACCTGCTCCCTCTGCCTACGTGACTTGCATCACTTACCTGGGTGAGGGGTTTCTACCTGGGGAGCTGGGATCTGCCCGGTAACAGGTGATGCATTTCAGATTGGTTGGCTGACAGCCAACTGGGGCTGACCTCCGCTGGCCCAGGTGAATGAGGTCACAGGGGCTATATAAGTTAGGACGGGGAAGGAGGCGGTCTCTCCTCTCCGGCCATGAGGTGACGCAGCAGCCAGGCAGGGGACAGAGAAGCCTTAACATCTGAAACTGGCTCTCTCCCCCCAAACTCACGAGCTAGGAACCGCCTGCCTCCAAAGGGAAACTTCACCTGCCTTTGGAAGATGCTTGTGAGTAAGCTACTCAATCTGATTAGATATTTATCTGGAAGTATCACAGATGCGTAATCAAAAGGCTACCACAGCCAGACTGTTTGCTCTTTAGGATTTCTAGATATTGCTCTATCCTGTACCCTAGTTTACCCTACCCCCTGTAATCAATAAAGTTCTCCTTTTTGACTGGTGTGGGAGACTTATTGAGGGGTGGGTCTAAATTATGCCTAAGAGACCCCTTAGGTCTGTGGACTAAGGGAGACTATACCTTTTTGCCCCCGGACTTGGGGAAGTACCCCAAGTGCCTGTACTGGGTTGAGTACCCGTGGGACTTTAGGCCTGTGTTACCCCAAGGACACAGGGCCGCGAGACAGTCCATTCTTGGGGTGGTGGCGGCACGTTACCCCCAGACCAGCGAGTGTGCTCCGGGAGAGGGGTCGGCTGGACATAAGGCGCCCCTAGGGAGGCATTCGGAGCCTGGAAGGTGGTCGGGCACAGGGAGGTGGGCGGCTCGATGCAGGAGCACCCCCTACTGGCCCGCTTCACGTGGTGGAAACAGCGGAGGGATACGAATACCCAGCTGTGTTCCTGAGGTGGGATCTCTGCACCCGCCACACATATAATATCTACAAGAACAAGATTACAACTCAGAGTACAGACCCAAAGATGTTACTGAACTTATACACTTCATCCTCACACACAACAACTTCACTTTCAATAACCAACACTTCCTCCAGACCATGAGCAAAGCTATGGGCACCAGAATGGCCCCACAGTATGCCAACTATTTTATGAGCCACCTGGCAGAAGAATTCCTCAAGGAATCAAACCCTTGCTATACTTGAGATAAATTGATGACATTATCATTTGGACTGAAAACCTGCAATCTCTGTTTGATTTCTATCAGAAATTTAACAATCACCATCCCTCCATCAGACTCCATCCCTCTTGAATACTCCAGCACTAACACTTCCTTTTTAGATACAATGGTCACCAGGGATCCTGGTTTTATTTGATAAAAATAAAAATGCCCAATTTTCAGATTTAAAAAAGTAACCCAAAATTCACATTTTTCCATTTTCCATGATTACAGTGAAACAACACACACACACACACACACA